GGTGTGTTAGGGCCCAACTTCGGGACCCTAAACCCTAAACCCTAAACCCTAACCCCTAAAGCCTAAACCCTAAACCCTAAACCCCCAAAAGTCTGAGGGTTAACTTCGCGCAAGCGGCCCCGGAGGTGGGTTGGTGTCCAGCAGCGGCGGCTTGGGATCCAGAAGCTTGGCCACCACGGTGGGAGGCAGGTCCGTGTCTGCGGCGTAGGGTTTAGGGTTTAGGGTTTAGGGTTTGGGGTTTGGGGTTTGGGGTTTGGGGTCTGGGGTCTGGGGTTTGGGGTTTGGGGTTTGGGGTTTGGGGTTTAGGGTTTAGGGTGCGGCGTGGAAGAATTAGGGTTTGGAGCCTTGAAGCTTAGGGTTTATAGGCTTAGCGGGATTACAGAGTTGAAGGTTTGGGGATTGCCTCAATTTCAATGGACCACTCCTAAAGCCTACCCTCTTTGCAGGCTCTGTTTACAAGAAAACATGCATAGGGTTCTCAGGAAGCCTGCAACAGGCGTTGGGGTTGATGAGGTAGGTTGAGAGATCTCATCAACGGCTGTAGCGGGCCAGTAAACACGGCGACAAACAGATTCTACCGGCCGAAGAAGAAGAAACCGACCCCCTCAGATGAGAGCCCGACTGCTGGCACTCCTGATTTTTGCAAACCCTACATCGACACAAGCCCTCAACCCTATAAGCCATAAGCCGTCAACCCGAAGCCCTGCGCTGACTACCGTTATGGTATGAATCGACAGTGGCCAGAATAGTCGATCAACCCCCAAGCCTGCAAGCCAGATGTATGCGTATACAGTATACATGTACATGGATGAGAGAGTTGAGGGCCTCGGGCTATGTATTTCGGGTTCATCTCTTTCCCGTTGGTCGCAACACTGCCTCGGCTCATGAGGTACAAGCCGTACATCGCCTGTGGCTACAAGGGCTGGGGTAGCTCCTTCAACTTTTCGTGGCTCATCTAACGTAGTGTTCAACCCTAAACCCTATAGACCCCAAACTCTTCAACCCTGCAACCCTAAACGTCTAGAAGCTTCGGGTGCGTAGGGTTTGCGGACCGTAAGACTCTGCACGCTTTACGGCTCTAAACCCTGCAGGCCACAGACTCCATTAAGCCCAAAGACCCCACCCGAAATCCCTAAACCCTAAAACCCTAAACCCTAAACCCCAAACGCCACACCCTAAACCCGAAACTGAAACCCTAAACCCAAACTAAACCGTAACCCCTAGACCCTCGACCCAAAACGCGCCGGAAGCCTAAGGGGGCATGAAAGCATGAAGCAGACCTGAAGCCTCTTCCGGGGGCCCTCGTCTTACCGTTGGTTAGCAGGGAATTTTAGGGTTTTGGGTTGAGGGTTTAGGGTGGGGAATCAGGTGATGAGGTACCCTGTAATCCCTTAAAAGGGTAGATATAGGGCCCTGATGCCCCCATTCCCTGCTAACCAACAGTAAGTAGCAGGGGCCTTTCATCCTACTAGATACCCTAGAGCCCAGAATGCCCACAAGCACTGGTTTAGGGGTGGGTTTTAGGGTCTTCAGGGTTTCGGGTTTTAGGGTTTACAATAAACCCAATAAACCACGGTTTAGGGTTTTTAGGGGTTTAGGGTCTACTAGGGTTTAGGGTACGGGGGGCAACCGAAGGAGGACAGGGAACAAAACAGTCAACCCCAACAGAAGCCCTTAATACCCCTGGAACAACCAACAACCGAACAACAAGACCCCAAACCAAGGGCACACTTTTTACGAAACCTTTGACCGCTTTGGTCATGGCTTGAGCCAAAGATTACCGGGTTCATTGACCCTTCAACTTCCAATACCAACTCCTTTCTACAATACCAATTGCAGCTCCGCACTCCCCCTGTCCTAGGATTTCCTAGGACACATTGGAGGTGCAGATCTTTGGCCAAAAACCGCCATTTAGGCAGCAGCCAGCTGCTTGAAATGCACATTATGGTTTAACGTCATCCAGGACGAACCTTCAGCTCATTGGCTGAATCCTTTACCATTGAGGATTTCTTCACCTCGCACCTGGAAAATTCACGTTCCAGCGGCCCGTTCCTCACCTTAAGGAACTCAGCATTCACCACCCAGCCATCCTTAAGGCAATGCTTACAAAGCGTCTTAGCTCTGAGCTGTGAATATCGCAGAACATCACAGTCACTGCTTGCGTGCATACAGTTCCCACCCACTGTTGTATACAAAGTGGCACTCGCAGGAACAACCACCGCTTTCTTGACCCACAGCCATTTATACAGCCGTCGAAAGAGGCACCATGCCAGTTCCCAGAGTATAATTGCTGCCACCAAATATGCAACAAGGTCTGAATTGTTGACAACCATTTCAATACCTTGAGCCAGAACCATCACCGTAGACGTGTTGGCGACCTTGCACACCCCTTCTTCTGAGCAAAAGAATCCAGCCGTGGACACTTCTTCGCCACCAGTTGCCATCCCTTGCAGAGATGCAGCCACCATCATGACCGCCATTGCAAGGGAGGCTTTTTTCAAGTCAGTCCCTTGTACCAACAGTCGGAGACCCCAAAGTGCCTTTTGCTTTGCGTACACCTGTCCACTCATCAACTTAGTCAACAGGTCAGCGATCATATACTCACCGCGAAGATGCGCTATCACCATATAACCACGGTCCACCAGAGACCTGACACCGGCTGCTCGAATTCTCAGGTGTCTTGTCCTCCAGCTTCCAGCAGGATATTGAATGATCGAGCACGTTGAAACCGAATCTGTATACAGCACTTTTTGCAGCGATTCTTCACCTGTTCCAACCAAAGCGGCAATTATAGGGGTGCACGACTGAATCATCGTTGCTCCCTCTATGGACGCATGTAATTCAGCTTCAGCTGTACTTAAAGCCACCGTTGATTGTCTTTGTGTTGCCCACATCACTGGACAGTCACCCCACACCACCACCGCTCCTGAGTGGCTCTTTTCGTTTTCACCTGCTGCAAAGCTGGCATCCGCGTAGGACTCCACCACCTTAACGCCTCGTCCATAACGCAACACCTCATTTCTTTCTTTTTCACATGTTGCGATTACTCCGAACGTCAAGCCTAACGTTGGAGTTGCAGCAAGGTATCGGAAAACCTCTTCAGCCTTTTTAACCACAAATCGCGGCCTTCGGGATGTCCACAAAGACAACTGGCTCGTGCAGAACGCCAAATCAGGTCGAGTTTTGATTGCCACCCAGAGGAACTCCCCCCCAGACCACCTATTGGATCAGAAAATTGGAACCACCGAGCTGGCTCCAAAATTGGAACCGAAAGGATCCAAAGCATCAGAAATTTGGATACACTGGTATTCACAGCGCCCAGGCGAGAGTTCGATTTTGAGCCTTCTGAGCCAAGAAAAAGAGCAGGAGCCCTGCAGAGAAATTCATCTGCTAAAGTGTTGGACGTTTGAGCCAATTCGAAGAAAAACATTCTAGTTTAACTACGAATATATATATATATATATATATATATATAGACATATACATACATACATACATATATATATATATGTATATATGTCTAGACACGAACCTGTACATATACTTAGCCATATATCGATGTATATATATATATATAATTGTTTATTGTGTTATATATATATATCTGTTTACAGACAGACAGACAGACAGACAGACAGACAGACAGACAGACATAAATACATACATATGTATACATATATATATATATATATATATGCATACATATATATATGTGTGTGTTTATACGTATTTGGGTGTTTGTTTGCTTTTGTATTTCTTATGTGGGCACCAAAACATCTTTGTACATAAATAGCCGGCTGCCAATTTGCGGCTGATTCCAAAGATCTGGAGGGATCTTGCTATGCTTGGGCGCAAGTTTATGAAGAGAAGTCCTGAAGAAAGTTCGGTGTCGAACTTCAGGATTCGGTTGAGGGTCAGGGTTTGAGGTTGTTCCAGACCTTGCCTCTGCCTTGGCCGGCAGCTGCTGGCTTGAGGGTTTGGGGTTTTTGGGTGTCAGGAACCAGCAAAGCAACCTTATAGTTTGGGGTGTAGGTCTTGGTTTGGGGTTTCGGTTGAAGCAAGGCCACTGCAGGCTTGTGAGGATGCCAGCTGCATGCCGCATCGCTCGGCAATATGCCCTGAGTTGAAGGTTCATGGTACTTCTTAACCAATTATAACTGTACTTGTAACTGTACATCTATAACCACACTAGGTCATTCAAGGGGCTTATCAGTGGGTTTATACGTACAGTCATAATTATTGGTTAACAAGCACCATGAACCTCCAATTAAGCCCTCACCCTTAGAACACGGCCTACCCTGGCCTTTTTTTTGGGGAGGGGGTTGGGGGGGCTTGGGAGGTTTTGGGCCTGGAGGGTTTGGGGGGGATTTGGGTTGGGGGGAGGTTGGGCGGGGTTGCGGGGGTTTTGCTGTTTGGGGGGTGGGGGGGGGGGGGGGCGGGTTTTGTTTTGTTGTGTTTTTTTTGGGGTGGGGGGGGGGGGGGGGTTGTGTTTTTTTTTGGGCGGGTTAGGGGGGGGGGGGTTTGGGGAAGGGTTTAGGGTGGGTTTTGGGTGGTGTTTTCTGGGGGTTTGAGGCGGGTTTTTTTGGGGAGGGTTCGGGGAAAGTTGGGGGGGGCTTTTGGGGGTTTTGGGTGCGAGGGTTTTGGGAAGGGGTTTGAGGGGGGGGTTTTGGTGTTGTTTTTTTTTTGGGGGGGTTCGGGGGGCGGGTTTTGGTGGTGTCTACACACACGAACAAAATGGACACAAAGAGAGAAAGCGAGAGAGTGAGAGGGACCCCCAGGCCCCCAGACATCAAGGAAAGAACAAAGGAAAGAAAGAAAGAAACAAACAAAAAGACAGAAAGAGAGAAAGAGAGAAAGAAACAACCTGCAACTCCCAAACCCTAAACTCTAATCCACTCCCGAAACCCTGAACCCTCAGCCGACTTCGGGTTTGAAGTGTTAAGGGTGCGTCAAGACCCGGGGACAGCGGCGATTGGAGCCTATGAGGAAAGGTTGGCAATTCACGAGCCACTCAAGTTGCTCAAATTTTGCAACTCTTTGCAGTTGGCAGTATGTAGCCCTGCCACTTTCCAGTGAATGACATTTGCCCAAGTCTGCCGGTGTGCAGATCGGGCCACCTTCGCGATGATCCCGTTGAGGGATTCATCCCTATAGGTGCTGTAGATGCGAGGGTTCCCCTTTTGAAGGGATCGCTGAATCAAGTGAAACAGCAAGTGACACTTCGGTTTCAGCACTCCTCCTGCCCGTCTGTACAGTACTAAAAAACGCACATAATGATTCCACAAGTCTTGGCACTGCAAACGGCTCAGGGTTCGGGACCCCACCTGCAAGACAGAGTCCATGTCTAGTGCAGCTCGCGCCGACGAGCAGAGCAGGGATGCTGTGCGGGCTCTGGCATTGTCAAGCATGGCAAACTCCTGCTCATGTTTGCCGAAGAGCCAAACAACGAATTTCAAGAGACCTCGTGACTCCCCAGCCTTGGCGTTGAGGTTGTATGTTTCCTCGTTGCCAATCATGCCCAGTGTCAGGTTCCAGACCTCATTATCTCCAGGGCTTGAGGGGAAAAAACCCTAAACCTTTATAGCAAAGTCCCGGAAGAAAATCTTTCCATATGGTTCCATGTCGCCTCTGTCCCCTTCTGACGCCACTCGGGATCCGTGTTTCGAATCTCCTTGTAGAATTGAAACAGTTCGGCTTTGATTGCAAGCAAGCTCATCTCCTTTCTGTCTGCAGCAGCCAATTGAGTGGTTCTGGGAGCCCACAAGCCACAGTCCATGCAGAAGTGCAGTGACAAGCTCACAAGCTGCTGCAAAGGTCCCAAGTGCCAGGCGTGCATAATGTCTATGGCCCAGGTATCGAGGGTGACACCATGTAGACGAAATAGCGGGCACATGTGTGTGAGCCTCGCATCTTCAGGACCGACCCAGAAGCATGCCTTGAAGGGTGTAGCGACATATTCAAAGCTTGCCACGTCGGCCAGTTGCGATGTGGGCTCCAGTCGCGAACCTTTGCAAAGACCGAGCTCTGGAAGGCTCGTTGTGAGAACACGGCCTCGAAGCTTTTTGTTGTAGACCAGGTTTCGAGTCACAAGGCGCTGCAGTCGTGAATCACTGATCAGTACTTCCTTGACTGATGGGGCTTCGGGCGCTTCGGGCTTCAGTTCCAAGGGTAAAACCACATTACAGACTTCACACCTGCTAGTATACCAACTCAGGGGCCTTTGTGAACTTGCGAACATCCTGCCAGTAGTCTTCCATAGTGTACTTCTCATAGGGCAGATAGTCCAAGGAAGCACGATCGTAACAGTCTTCGTACAGTTGGGTTTGGTTGATCCTACATAGAGGGCAAGGGTGTTGGCCATGCGACCAGAACCTTTGCCCCGACACCTCAAGCCAGGCTGGCCAGTCACTCTGTATGTCCAGCACAAAGTAGCGATCAGCTATTTTTTGGAAGTCCTCAACCCAGGCATCCAGCAAAGGAAACAGGCTGCACCAGCCCCGACACCCACAGCGACACATATCTTCGGACCCTTAGAGTCTCGAATGCAGAAGTGTATTGTCTGAAAGAAACAAAAAGTCTGAGGCCCCTAAACCCTTATTGTCCGAAAGGAAAGACTCCAGGCCCCTAAACCCTAAACCCTAAAGCCTGAGCCCGAAACCAAAAGCCCCTAAGCGCACCCCAAACCCTAACCCATAAGCCTGGGCAACTGAGACTTCGACTGAGTAGGAAAGATAAAAATTTTTGCCCTGACAAGATGTCCGTCACATAAAAACCAGTGAAGCTGTCGTGGACGGAGTACTGCACACCATCCCAATAGAGAGCAACCGGCCGGGGAGCAAACCCAGGCATCGCATTCCGAACAGCAGGGTGGACATCGTAGCAGGGAAGCCCCACTAAGCTCTGAGTGTCAGCATGTTGCAAAATCTCTGGGATCTCCACGAATTTTTTGAAAAGAGTAGAAGGCATCACCACCGGCACGGGCTCCAGGACTCTTCTGGCCTCCCTCTTAATGTACAAGGGTGTTCGGACAAGAGTCATGTCTGGTTCGGGGAAGGACTTGCCTGCATGCAGGTGGACATGCCGGTGACCATGCGCTGTGGCCTGTTCCGGATCCAGAGCAAGGTCAGCCACCCCGGTCCCTCCAGCTTCTGTGACCCAATGGGAGATTAAGGCCACATCAGCACCAGAAAGCCCACCCGAAAAGAATCGATCAAGTAAGAGCTGTCGGAGCTCCTCGCTACCATGTTGGCGTTGGGCTTTCAAGGGGTCTTCTGGGCTTCTTTCCCTCTCTGCCGCCCTAGCCCTCTTCATGACTCAGCCTCATGTAAGCGGTGCAGCAAAGCACATGCAGAGGTACATGCTTGTCTTCGCAACCCTTCCATTGTGCAGAGGCTTGCACAAGGCTTCCATATTTTTCGAACACCGCCACACTCGAAAGCATTCATGACTCGCACCACAGGGCCTAGGATCTTTCCCCGCCCAGGCTCGAGGCGAAGGTCACGAAACCCGACCAGAGCAAGCTTTGCATGCTCGTACACCCCAGACTCAGAAACAGTCGTGGCGATATCCTTCTACTCTAGGACTCTAGGTCACCCTTGGAAACACTCCTCGCCTTGGCCTTTGCCTTTCGCTTGGGGGCTTTCGGGGTCAGAGGCGACTCGGCCGTCTCCATCGCCTTGTTCATGCCCTCGAGTTTGCAGGCCAGCAGGTTCATCCTGAGACATGGGGCAAGGCGGGGTTCAAGCTTGAGGATTTAGGGTTTACTTAGGCTTTAGACTTTAGGGCTTAGGGTTTAGGGTTAAGGCTTTAGGTTCAGGGTTAAGGGTCTAGGCTTCTTAGGGTTTGGGTAGGCTTTACGGTTTACTGTTCAGGGTTCAGGGTTTAGGCCTTAGGCTTAAACCTTCACGGTTTAAGGTTCAGGCTTTAGGCTTTCGGGTTCGAGGTTCAGGGTTTAACCTTTGTAGGGCTTAGGCTTTACAGGGTCCCGGCCTTAGGGTTTAGGCTTCAGGGTTTGGGCTTCAGGGTTTAGGCTTTCCGGTTCGGGGTTTGGGGCCTATGGGGTTTAGGGGGTTGATATGTGGCCTCGGAACTATGAACCATGTACCTCGAGGGCTGTAGGTTAAGGTTCAGCTTCAGGGTTTGAACAACAGACAAGGGTCTGCTGACAGACAGCGCCACAACGATCCACGAAGACGGTCAAGAAGCTGTGGTAGTTGTCCTTGTAGTTCTTCTTCATGTTCTTGCTTGCCACCGGTGAAATAGCAGTAAGCCTGAGCTCGTTGACAAACTCCGACAGATCATCCCCAGCTGCCGGGCACAAGCAGCCTTTGAAGTTTTCCTGCAAGGTCGCGAACTCTTCCAGCAAAGGCTTTGCCCAGGCATACTGGGCAGGGCAGCTCTCCACCTGGGCCTGGAACTTCTCCATCACCTGACAGGCTCGCTGCTCCAAGCACAACATGTCCTTGCTCTTCTTCTCCACTTCGCGATTGCGCTTGTTGACAGCGGAGGAGCTGGCCTTTTTCCTCTCCACTGCACCCTCCTCCTTTGGCAACTTGGCAGCCTTCGGCTTCTTCCCAGGCTTGTCGCCTGTCTCAGCACCAACCACTTCAGCCTCGGCCCTTCGCTTTCGCGATGGCATCGCATCCTCACCAGGCAGCTCTTCGATTCCCGGAACCGAGACCTGCATCTCGGCCCAGCCAGCGAGGCCTTGGGGGCTTCCCTCCACATCGGAGATTTCCACGGACTCCATGGGGAGGTTGTGGCTGATGGCGTATTTCCGGATTGCTTTCAGCCTGTAGGATTCAAGCTTGAAAGTTTCGGAGTTGTCACACTGCTCGACCACCTCTTGCCAATCCTCCGACGTACTCGAACAAGTCAGTCGCTCGACCAGGAGGTAGGTCTCGGCATCGGTCCAAGCATTGTGCTCCACGAAGACGTCCTGTGGCACACATATGCACAAAGACTTAAGAGGTTAACTTCAGTCAGGACCGCTACAGAGCACCTAAGTCCACCCTCTACATAAACCAGTCCTTGAACTTCTGGCACATGGCGATGTAGTTCCTTGCCTGTCTCTGGGCCTCCGGCTGCTCCGCTCCACCAAAGTGGACCCGAAGCTGCAACTCAGATTTCCAGCAACCCACCTCGCTCTGCTTGGTGCTCTGTGTGATCGAGCGAACACGGCGTCTCAGGACGGAGTCGAAATCACGACTGACTGCCCAGGCCATTCGCCACTTCTTTTTCAAATCCTCCGTGAGCCACTTGTAGATGTTTTTCGCCATCGGTTTCTTCACGAACTGGCGGCCCATCTGCTGTGCGATCGGGCCCCGGGCTGTCATGTCCAGTCCCTTGCATGCCCAGAACTCCAAGCCCTCGTCACTCTTCGCCACGGTCTCCGGGGTCACGGCCCCGACTTCCAGCCCGTGGTGCTCGGCATACTGCTGGACAGCTCGTTCTTTGGTGGCGACACACATCTCCTGCAGGAAATTAAGGGTTCAGGACCGGGGTTTCGGATGTAGGGTCCGGGGTTAAGGTTTTTGGGTTTGGTGAGTTCAGTGTGTAAAGGGTTTAGGGTTTAGGGTTTGGGGAGTTTAGGGTTTCAAGGGTTTAGGGTTTGGGCACAAAAGTCTACAGCCAGCACAGCTGGACCCCCCCTCCTTCGGAGAACCCTAAACCCTAAACCCTAAACCCTAAACCCTAAACCTTAAACCCTAAACCCTTAAGAGGTCTCCTTCTTCTCTTCTGGCAGCTGCTTCTGCGGTGTGGCCACAGGGCGGGCTGGTGCTGCAGGCAAGGAGGCCTGCTCGGGGGACACGACTGCAACCCCTACACCCTAAACCCTAGACCCTGAACCCTAAACCCTACACCCAACACCCCACACCCCAAACCCTTTTCTCGAACCCCAAACCCTTAAACCCTCTAGCGGGGAATACACGATGGCCTTGTCCGGATCGGCCATCACCAGCTGCTGGGAGGACTCGGAAGGCTTGGGAGTGTCTTCGGGTGCCATCACGAAAAGTTAACTTGGTACAGGCAGTCACACAACCCCTTTTAAGTAGAACTGCCAAAACTTGAGCCACCTCGATGGAATTACGGCAGCGGGTGGGGCTCATCGCACCCTCATCGGCCCTCAGGGTGGCCACGGGGAGGCCTCATTGGGGGCTCTTCGGGTCTTCTGGCTTGACTTCAATATTCGGGATTGGGTTTTGCGGGGGGGCCTCATTGGGGGCTCTTCGGTACGGCCCCGCTGCCCCCTCATCGACCCCTCCTCGCTCCAAATTCCGGGCCTCATTGCTACCTCGTCGGGAGATTCCTTTTGAAACTAATATACGGAGATACCGGGAAAATAGGGGCCTCATCGGCCCCTCATCGGGAAACCGCGGGTGCCCCTCATCGCACCCGTTTTCTTTAAAACTAATGGTTTCTATTGTATTTTCTTTAAAACTAATGGTATCTATTGTTTTTCTAGAGGGACCGAGCAGACCCTGGAAAGGTTCCAAAAATTAGATCCCACCATGGGTTCTTTAGGTGTAGTCTAAATTAGAAATAAGAAAATAAAGCCCAGATGCATAAGTGGTTCCAATTTTTGGATCCTTTCAAGGGTCTGCTTACCACACCAGCTAGTCGAGAAACCCTGTAAGCTTGAACCGTTAACCGTCAACTCGAAATTCGTGGAGGCTTGCAGAGTCAGAACCTTGGCCACATCTGCGACTGATCTTCATTTTACAGCGGGGTTTAGGGTTTAGGATTTAGGGTTAGGGTTTAGGGTTTAGGGTTTAGGGTTTAGGGTTTAGGGTTTAGGGTTTAGGGTCTAGGGTCTAGGGTCTAGGGTCTAGGGTTTAGGGTTTAGGGTTCAGGGTTTGGGCTTTGGGTTTAGGGTTTAGGGCTGTCTGGGATTGCTGTACATGTCCGAAAGAAGAAGATCGAGGGATGACTGCAGCTTTGTTTTTCGACCAACCCGCTGCATGATACTGATTGGAATCAATCAGCTAATTGCTCTATCTATACGAGACCTGACACATGTCGGCCCCCGAGGCTTTTGGAGATCGTTCCGGAGGATGCCAGAGGAATATAAAGAGAACATCAGACAACTACTTTCTTGAAAGGTCAGGCCCCCTTTCAAAGCACCTCCGAGACCGAGACCATGGGGCCTAGACACCACGTCCAGAGCCCTTCTCGCCTCGCTTCCACGCTTTGTGACAGGCTGCACAGGAATGATGGTGTGCACTTTCACCCGACATACTAAAACATGAAGCAGACCTGGTGCAATATGCTGCTTGGCAATAAGAGCACCAGGCCTTTCGGGTCCGGAGCGAATGGTCGAGAGCTTGCTCGCGCGCGGAAGCAGCAGCTTCCCGGGCAGCCAGCGACAACTCACGGTCTCTCAAGGCACTCTGTTGCCTCAGGAGGTCTTCTTCACGAACAGCCACTGCCCTCTCTCGCTGAGCCACACTGGCCTCGCGATGTGGTAGAGACCAGGCATCGTCCAAGGACAGAAGACTCTGGGAGGCCATCACAGCTTAGGCGCGAGGAGGGGGGCTTGGTGCCCAGAGGAACAAATAGGGGCCTCAAAGCTTCGATCGTCGGTAGCAAAATGCGGAGAGCCAGAAAGAAGGGAGGTGAGAGGGAGGAACACCGACAGAACAACCCCACATCCTAGACCCCAAACCCGACAGCCTAAAGGACATTCACCAAAGCCAAAAGCAGAAACCCTTCGAAACAACAAAGCCCTTAAAAACCACAAGCAGTCCAGTTTTTTACTCTCAAAACAGATCCTAAACCCCATTAAACCCTTTTTCTAATTTCTATTTTCAATTTCGATGCTTTTTTTTTCGTTTGCTCGTTAATGTGTAGGATTTTCCGACATTTGAGGGGGAAAAAAACCTCAACCGGAAGAGAGAGAAAGAGAGCTTGCAGGCTTAGGGTTAAGGGTTCAGGGTTTAGGGTTTAGGGGGAAGTAGAGGCCCTAAAGCCTAAACCCTAAACCCTAAACCCTAAACCCTAAATCCTAAACCCTAAATCCTAAATCCTAAACCCTTACAGAACCCTCCCGAATCCCTACTCCTCTTAGCACACGTCCTGCGGAGCCCAATGACCACTTGCAGCACCCTAATTTTCCACAACGACAGGCACGAACCGGGATACTGAAGAGCTTCCACAAAGAAGAGCTCCACACGTGTGAGGATTGAAACTTCAGGGTAGAAAGCGGGTATGGTCGGGCAGAGGGACTGTGTAGGCCACATGCTGGTACATGCTGGAGCACAAAACCTTTGTGAAAGGGAGCTGAAGAGCCTATACACAGACTCGCATGGAATCTACATGGGCAGCACGGGCTGGGTGTCCATTGTCTCCAGAGTCTGTCCTGGAGGTGGGACGAAGATCCGCGCTGGCTCGGTCTCCGGGACTTCCTGGGTGTCCTGCAGGGTCTCTGGTATCGCCTCAGGCAGAGGCTTCGCACGGGAGAGCTTGGCAACCTCGTATCCAGGGGGGATTTCCTGTCGAACGGGAAGGTCGTCCATGTGTTGGATGATCATAGAGATGAGGTCCTTGTGCGGGCGAACACAGTCCTGTAGCTCCGAAATCCTGAGCAGCCATGTGCCGGAGGTGACATAGCCGATCACTTCCTCTCTGCGGCTTCTGAGATCCTGGGCCAGCAAAGTTCCTGTAGCCAGTTCCATAAGCAGCTGCTTGATTACCACCATCAGAACCCAGGTTGGAAAGCCATCTTTCACTACTATTTGCAGCTTCTGACGCCACGTAGTCCTGCCCTTCTCAGAAGTCTCCCATGCAAGAAGTGAGACAATGTCGTTCCTTTTGTTTTGCTTCTTGTACTGCACCTTGTATGCAACATTGTCTACTCCTGTCTTCTGCTGCTCAGACAGCATGTCTTCCACAAAGGGATCTGTGGTCCCTTCACACACACCCTCGCCTGACCCAGAAGCGGCCTGCTGCTGCTTCTCGGCAGCTGGCTTCGCTGCAGTCTTCGTGGGAGCCGGCTGCGAGTCTTGGGTACTCAGATCCTCCTTGGCAGCATTCAAAGTTTGGTCGGCTTTTGGAGGGCTGGAAGGGAGGGGTTTAGGGTTTAAGGGTTTTAGGGTTTTAGGGTTTTAGGGTTTTAGGGTTTTAGGGTTTTAGGGTTTTAGGGTTTTAGGGTTTTAGGGTTTAGGGTTTAGGGGTCAGGGTTTAGGGCTTAGGGTTTAGGTTTGAAGCTTTAGGGTTTAAGGAAAGGGGTCTTGCAGTCTACGTGAGATCCTTGGAGGAAAATGCCCTGTTGGCCCTGTATAGTCAAATACTTGTGGTTCCAGGGGACACACATGACATCAACAAATATTACACAGAGGCTAAGACAGTCGAGGCTCTTGCAGCAAGTGTGGCACGATGACAGCCATGCCATCTGAAAAACAGCACTCAACTGGATCTGTGCTTTGCTTCTTCACATCTCTGCTTGGTAGAAAAGACCACTCCACAGGACCCCGAGCCTTGGGGCCCAGAATGGCTTTGCGCCAAACCCGACCCGTAGCAGCATCATATCCGTGCTCGTACTGATCCAAGCTGGGGGGGCCAGGGGCACTCTTGGGGACGGTAAGTGGCTCCACAGGAGCCACTTGCTCGGTTGGAGCAGCAACCATCGGAGGGTCCTGGAGGGGTGGGGTGTCGACTTGGCTTTGGTCGCCTCCGGTTTGTTGGAGGGGAGAAAGGGTTATACCTTACACATTGCTGTTGGTGGGCTACAGACTTCTGAGGTTCAAAGAACGGGGAGTCGATGTTCGGGCCCAGACCCTAAACCCTCAACCCAAAACCCTAAACCCTACAGTAAACCCGAAACTCTAAACCCTAAACCCCAAACCCTCAACCCTAAACCCTAGACCCTAGACCCTAAACCCTAAACCCCTAAACCCTAAACCCTAAACCCTAAACCCTAAACCCTTAACGTCAACACCCTGCAGTTTCATGACCCCAGGCTCCAAAGAAGGCGGCTGCACGGCTGGAGCCAACGAAGCCGAGGTCGAGGTCGTAGCTGAGTCCAGCTCGCTTCCTGCTCCAGTTTAGACTTTTGGGCTGGGGGGTTATTGTTTGGGGAGTTTGGGGTTTCGGGACTTTCGGCTTTAGAGACTTTAGGGTTTAGGGAGTTCGGGGTTCCAGCTCTACATTAAATGCAACCCGAATGCTGCCTTGCGAGACAGAGGCCAACAATGCAAGAGTGTGTGTAGGAGGTCCAACATCCCAAGCACCATCATCTTCGTCACTTCCGAAGGTATCCTCATGTGTCTACTTTAAAGGATGGAAGCGGCGACCTCTAAAACTTTAGGGTTCTTGTAGCAAGAAAAGTTTTGCAGTATCTGATATGGCAAGTAACAGAGAAGAAATCATACCTCGGCTTGCTGGGCTCTTGTGCCCTGGGATTCTTGGCCGCAGGTGGTAACATCGGCTTCTGTGAAGCCGCCTTGGTTTTCACAGCAGCCTTTGTTCTGGC